ACAGAGTAGTCTAATGGCCGAGCGCTCGTATTTTTCAATCCACTGATAATGCATAAGAGGATATCATTGACTCTTTATAGGAGCTATGGATTCCACTATCTATGAATAACGAATCTACGCATACACGAGTCATTACCCTATTGTACCGGCAAGCGTACCTTTACATAATGTCAAAATGTCTCCTTTTAGTACATCAAAAGATACAAGTCAAGTATACAGGTTCATCATCCATCTCAGGATTAAGATGACAACATATAATTCGTCAAAAATGAATTGTTTTATTCAAACAGAATTATTAATTAAAACAATTCAACTTTGGTCCGATCCAATATAGATTTCACCATTAGAAACTATATCAATGTCTCCACCCATGGAGTCCCACCTCCGACGACCAAGACAAGCCGTCTCCGTTAGGAAGTAGACAACATAACAATCTTAACATGAATAAAGCGCCTAACTTTATTCCCTCGATTGTGGATCATAAGATTTAGACTATCATCTTTAAATTCTTGTCTTCCGCATGTTCTTCACATTACATGCATGACCTAAAGATTTAGAATGACAGTCTCAGACTTTCAGTTTGCTTATCATACATTCAATTATTATGAACATAAAGAGGACAATACATAGATATATAAAATAAACAAATCTTTATTAATAGTCAAAATATCTCAAAGAATATTGTTACATTTATTCCTAAGGGCATAAACGCTAACACTCTTTTGTTCAGACCGTAGCCTGCCATTACCTTTTGGACTGTTCACTCATCCAATTTGTCCCCCCATTACGGCTCTGTAGATCTCTGTAATAGCTAGTGATCTGTTCCAGGCAATTTTAGGGGCTTGTAATCATTTCCTGTACAACTTGACATTCTCCAAATCCAGACGCAACGGATCCAGTTGCTTATGCTCTGCCGTCTGCACCTATGCTGACCTCTGCCGAGGGTAGCTTCTCTCATGGTCGACTTTATCACGTGATTTTGCCCGGACTGGTCTCGTAGACCTCGACTGTATATATGGTTGACGGTCTCGGTCTCCTTATACATTCGGCACTCCTGTCTTATAGGAGAGACCAATGAGGCTCGGGCGTCGAGGGCTAAATGACATGGTAGGCATGGGGCCACGTGTGCCCTGATCGTTGTCCGACGTGTCGATATGAATTTTCCCGCACAACAACCACCATTGTTACCATTATTCAAAACCTCCCCAAACTGATCAGTACGAGTACTCAAGAAGCACCTTAGTTTCAGTTTCCTCGCTGATATTCATATAATTCCCATACAACTGTCTCCTACAAACCTCGTACTGAAGCCGCCTAAAGAGCTCCTTCTTCAAAGCCTCAAACGCCATGTCTAACCTCTCTATCTGCTCCATGACGCTCTTGTTGTACATAAACAGTCCACAGTACAGATCAAAGCTATCCCCACCAGTGTTACGCACCAGACTCAACAGCGTCTCGTACCCTCTCGTGTTTATCGGGGATGACTCTAACCCAAACTTCTCCAAGACCCGTCCCATCGTGTGGGTCACGAACTGGGACCCAGCCGCGAACCGCCCGTGCTCGGAGCACGACATCTTCACCATGCAACACCCTTCTCCGGCAAAGATCCTTGGAACCTCTCGCACCGCTGGATTCTTAGCCTGCCGTTTCCAATCCGGACCTTGTCGTAGACGAAGGGGAGGCCGGCCCAGGAGAATGCCCCGCTCCGGGGTTCGAAAATGGGGTGGGTGCAGAGGATGTCGAAGTCACGGGGCAAATGTTTGAGGAGGAGATCTCGGGGGAATTCCTTGACGGAGAGGACGTCGACGAAGAGGATGTTTCGCAGGAGCTGCTGAAACGGCACCGTTTTGACGACCTGCTCCGTGGAGAGGATCGAGGTGCAAAGGACGACAACCTCCGGGTGCTGCTCGCAGAGGTCGTCGATGTCGGCGACAAAGGCGGCGCCGAGGGCTTAGGCCGCCCCCAGGAGTGGTCCGAGGGGGAGTGGGCCAGGACGGTGTGGCCCTGTCGGATGAACGCCCGGGCGAGGAACTTGCCAAAGTTTCCAAACCCGATCACGGCGATTTTGAGGGAGTTGGGATTTTCGAAATGGGCTTTGGGATGGGCCTCGTGGTGGAGTTGGGATTTTGGAAATGGGCTTTGGAATAGGCCTCGTGGTGGCTGTGAGGGGATTGGGCGAGTGGTCCGTGGATCGGACACGTGAGGGCAGGTGGGCCTTTTCGGGTTTGAGTGGGGAGTGAGGGGAGGGAGTGAAGAGGAGAGAATGGGTGGAGATTAGGAGGCGAGTTGGTTCGCGTGGAAGGGAAACATGGCATAATTTTTTTTCAAGTCTGGTGAGGTATAATAGGTAGAGATTTTATGAGGCTGCATTTTTCGTTTCATTCAGCGTCTATAAATATACGTATATAGTGTATATACACACACATGCATCTGCATGATCACCGATACTACACTGTTTGGGGTCCATACGTCTACGTGTTTTTTTTCCTTGCATGTAATAATGGTAACGTGTTCGTGCGTATGTACTAGTTGTAACTACATATATGCCTTGCACCAAAAGAAAGATATACCAACATTAGTGCAATAATTTACCTAGTGTTCTCAATATTGTGATGGGTGCTAGCATGCATTGGCGAAACCAGTGGAAGCGAACAATACTTTTAAAAATGAAAATTTAAAATTAAAAGGAGTGAACTCTCTGGGGACGAACTTGCAAAAACCTGATCACAATTTTCTTTTAAGAATAATGTTAATGACATCAACTCTAATTTCATTTAGCTTCAAGTAGCTGCTAGCATGTTGGCACCGTTCACGTACATATGATATTTCCTCAAAATACTGTCTAATCAGTTGGAGAGAGCCACCTCACTACTAGGGTTGTAAAAAATCACCCCGAACCCGACAAACCCAGCCGAGCTGAGCCGACTCTACTCAAAAATCACGGGTTTCCAATTTTTTATTTAATTTTCGGTTTTAATTATTCTCAACCCGCACTGTGTGGGTAGGGGCGCGAGGTGGGGTTCCATAAACCCGAGGTACCCCTACCCGGCCTAACATGTTCAAAAGGTAGGTAAAATAATGCCCAACCCTAATGATAATAAGTTTAAAATATCTTCCGAATACAACATAAAGGGTTGAGTCTTTGGATAATTCTTATTGATTCTTAATTATATGGATGGTGGATTTGTGTAATTGTTAAAAATCTTTCGAACAAAACATAAAGAGGGTAAATTTGTGGATGGTGGATTTGTGTAATTGTTAATTAGACATCTTATAATTGGCTTTGTGATTTTACCTGTGTCTCACTAAAAATATTCGATTTTTCTTATTTCTCTTACAACTTTTTTTCTCTTCAAACTACTGAATTTGTCATTTTTTGGAAGTGTTTGATTTCAAAGTGTGTGTTTTAATTGTTCACCTTGCATTTAGACCCCTTTTTAAAGAAAATACATGTTATGTTTGATAATGATTCCTTCGTAATAAGTATAGATTAATTGATTAAAAAGTAATTATGTGGTCCTAGTGAGTGCATGTCTAAAGATAACACGTTTTAAAGTTTGGGGGTGATTTTAAAGACATTTTAAACATTAGGAGGCACAACAGGTACACTTTCAAGTTCGAAAAGCATGTTAACACAATTAACACAGTTTAGGAGGAATTCATAAAATTTATCCAAGAAATAAAAAATCAAACACATCATAGTGCAGTAGTGAAGGGGGGAAAATTGAAAATTGTGGAGCCTATATTGAGCACCCCATTTCAACAGTTAACTAATAACATCGAAGGTATTTTCAACATTCGCAAAACTAGTGTTTGTAATCGATTCTCGGGGTTCAAAACTTTATCCAAAAGACTAGCTAGCAGTACATTAGCACAAGAAAAAGAGGTTGAAATTCAAAAAGCCTTTCGCCCCAAGGGACAAAAAATAGAACAAAAAGATGCAAACCTTTGAAAGCCCCTCTAAACGTTCTCTTTTCATCATCAACTTAGTTCCCTCAGAAAATCTTGAAAAGCAGGCCACCGTGGGTCGCGAAGAAAGGAGCAAAGACGAGGGATTCCACAGCCATGAGCTTTATGAGGATGTTAAGCGAAGGTCCTGAGGTGTCCTTGAGTGGGTCTCCAATGGTGTCACCAATAACAGCCGCCTTGTGTGGCTCCGATCCCTTCGGGCCAAGAGTTCTTGCATGCTCAGAAGCACCAGCCTGAAAATAGAAACCCCAACAACCACACGTCACGTATATATATTTATATATATATACACATCTTAAGAAAGGTGACCAATATGAAGTTTCTACATAAACATAATGAAATTCACCTCAATGTACTTCTTAGCATTGTCCCAGGCACCACCGGTGTTAGATGCAGAGATAGCAATCTGACAAGATAAATGGACAAATCAAGGATTCAAGATTAATTATATGTTTATTTTAAGCGTATGGATGATTCGAAAAATGTTTCCCAGTAAAAAATCTACTTCGGCTTGTATGTGCAACTGTTACCTGGACACCAGAAACAAGGGAACCGGCAAGAACACCGGAAAGGGTCTCAACACCAAAGAATGTTCCAACGATGAGAGGTGTAAGCATGACAAGAGCACCGGGAGGAATCATCTCCTTGAGGGAAGCATCAGTAGAGATCTTGACACAGGTGGCATAGTCGGGCTTAGCATGACCCTCCATTAAACCTGGGATGGTATTGAACTGCCTGCGAACCTCCTCAACCATCTTCAGAGCTGCACTGCCCACACTCTTCATGGTCATGGCAGAGAACCAGTAGGGAAGCATAGCACCGACAATCAGACCAATGAAGACCTTTGGGGTCAAAACATCGACGGTTGAGATGGCTGCCCGACTCACGAAGGCACCAAATAAGGCCAAAGATACCAGAGCAGCAGATCCAATGGCAAATCCCTATCAAGTAAAATGCAGATTGATGTTCAGCGATCAATTAAATGACAACCATGCATGGGTATTCAATATAAGATAAAGGCATACAAGCAGCGGAAAGAAAATTTGCAAAATAAATCAATAAATAAACCTTCAAAACTTAACTATGCATTCCAATCATCTTGGAATTCCAACGCATGCTACATATTGATAGTAACTACAATACTTTCACTCTTTGAAAACGTTTAAAAAGCACTAAGGTGGAATGACAAATAGGTTTCAACTATTCACGATTCCTCATTTAAAATCAGACGAGTATAAATCAGAGCATCTCAAGGCTAGCCACATTGTTAAAAGATATTTTAGTACCTTTCCAATGGCAGCAGTGGTGTTCCCAGCAGCATCGAGAGCATCTGTCCTTTCACGGATACGGTGGCTCATGCCAGCCATTTCAGCAATACCTCCAGCATTGTCACTGATGGGCCCATAAGCATCAATAGCTAAACCTGTAGCAATGGTGCTCAGCATTCCAAGGGCAGCCACTGCAATACCATACATGGCAGCAAAGCTAAAACTAACAAAAATGCTGACTGCAATGGCAAAAATCGGAATTATGACAGATTTGTATCCCAAAGCAAGCCCAAAGATAACATTGGTTGCAGCGCCAGTCCTGCAGGAATCAGCCACATCTTGCACTGGGCTGCAAGCAGAAGAATCGGGTTAGTGGAAGAAGTCAAGAAAGTAAAACAGATGCTAAAGACCAAGAATCAAAAGTACCTGTATGCATTACTGGTATAGTACTCGGTCACAAACCCAATAATGAGTCCAGCCCACAAACCAACACCAACACACAAGAATAGCTGCCTGCAAGACGAGGGAAAAAAAGTCAACTGCATATTGGACATATTTTTCAGAAAACGTAAAGCAGTGAACTGACAAGTGAGGTCATTACCAGTTCTTGACAACTTTCTGAGAACCAAAATTGAAAATTGTGAAGGTATCAGGAAGAGCAATCCAGCTAATAATTGCGATTCCAACAGTCATAAGAACAGTGGAAATGATAAGTTGCTTCTTCAACGCTGGTTCAATTTCCTTGACAGCCTTGATCTCAAAGAAATCAGTGGCAAAGAGAGTTGTGATCAAGCAAACGAGAATGCCCATGGAACTGATGAGGAGAGGATAACACATAGCAGTGAAATCATGGTTGATACCAAAAGATGAGATTGAAGCAACAACCAGAGCAGCGCAAGATGATTCAGCATATGAACCAAAAAGATCAGATCCCATCCCGGCAATATCCCCAACATTATCACCAACATTGTCAGCAATCACCTGAAAGAAAAAAGAAAACTACATTAGTAAGGGGCAGAAGAAAGATCACATTTTCAAACAGTATAATTTAAGAAAAGTGATAAAACTTACAGCGGGGTTTCTCGGGTCATCCTCTGGAATGTTCCTCTCAACCTTCCCGACGAGGTCAGCACCAACATCAGCTGCCTTGGTGTAGATACCGCCACCTACTCTGCCAAACAAAGCCATGGAAGATCCACCAAGACCATAACCAGTAATAGCCTCAAAAAGGCCTTCCCAGTCATCACCATAGTACAGCTTAAAGAGATTGATAGCAATGTAAAGAACCAACAGGCCGCTTGCAGCAAGGAGGAAACCCATCACCGCACCAGACCTAAATGCTGTGATAAAGGCTTTGCCAACGCCTTTTCTCGCTTCCAAAGTTGTTCTTGCATTGGCGTAAGTGGCAATCTTCATCCCAAGGTAGCCGGACAGGACTGAGGTAATAGCACCAAGCAAGAAAGACAGGGTACTGAAGACTGCTGTGGCTAGCGCGGGCTTGCATGTCTTAAGCTCATCATAAGTGCATGGCCGGCTCTTTGTGCTGAAGCCCTCAACAGACCCAAGGAAGAGGAAGATTAAGATTGCAAAAGCAATCATGAAAATTCCAACATACTGATACTCGGTAAGGAGAAATGAGGTCGCACCTGTACATACATCATAGCAATAGTTTTAATAAACAAGAGAATGGGGATGTGACTATACCACAATATTACTGTGCAGTAAGAACGTATATGCAAAAAGCTCACTAGCCAAGAGCCCTCGTAAGTGTAATAATGTAGATTTTAGACCAACGTAATATAAATATATACATAGTGAAGTCACAAAACGTAAGTGACCACCAATTCAAGCAATTGGGACAAGTAATGAAACTAAACATGCATATGGATACGTAACAAATATCAGCGTTAGATTTAATTTTTTTTTTTTTTAAAGTTGAGCATCTATTCGACGTCCAAATTTTTTACAATAACCATTCAAAACTTTGGAGAAATTAGTTCTTTATGTATCATTGCTTGGACGACGCACAAGGAAGAATGAAAAACGTCAATCACACTATTTTTTCCTCCAAAGACTTAGTAATATTTGTTTAAAAAAAAAGTTTGAAAATAGTAATCAATGTTTACCTTGTATTAAAATAATTAATGACATAACAAAATACCAAATTCGCAAGACATTTATTTCTTTTTTTTATGTAAAATGATTACACCCGAACATTTGAATAAAGAAAAAAGCAATGACTGCTGTTAATTATAGGAATAATAATCAACAATACGGCAACTTGCACACTTCCTCTACGACACAAAAAATCTCCACTTTCATAACCTCTGTTTCTCGTTAACTAAAAGTGAATGGAATTATGAAACCTTACTTTTAGTATAAAACAAACTAAATTCGAAATAGCTAGAAAAATCAATTCAGATGCGACAAAAAACAATCACTCAGTAAAAGAAACAATATACTCCTGAATAAGCTTGCATTCCCAACAAAAACACCATACCCAAAAAAACAAAATAAAATCAGAGCAACCTTTACTTCACGCTCAAAGACGCTAAACCAAATAATCACCAAAACAAGATATAAAACCCAACGCTACAGCACACGCATATAAGATGACACCACGCACGTGCAAGGGCAGTGAACATAATTAATAAAGTAATTAGTAATAAGGTTTTTTTTTTAAGGTTCATTATTGATATAAATAGCGCCATAAAAACAAACTATACTTGATGAGACGAAAAAATTTTAACCGACATTAATTAACAAATTAATTAATAATAAAGCTGAATTAGTAGATTATTCACTCAAAGAGTAGATCCAAAGAAAGTAAACTTGCCACTGAAAGTTTAATAAAATAAGAAGAATACGAAGAATCAGCCCCTCATTCTCATCAAACCCTGGCTTGAGCCAATGTAAACCCTAGAACTCCATAAAAGGTATTAAACTACGCTATGGAACCTATCAATGAAAAAAAATCCCAATTTTCTGCACCATATAAAACAGCAGGACCTTGTTTGGCATCAAAGAACACAAGAAAAGAGTACGTATTCGAGCGTAAGTTTTGAATTTTAATCTTCTCTCTAGCCACTACTAAATTAAGCTACCACAAAACTTTTAGAAGAAAACAACACAAAAAAATACAAGAAGGGAAAAAAACGTAAAAACTCAAACTTTTAAACTTTCCTTTCACCATTTTCTCAGAATCCAAACAGATAAACCAATCCAACATTTTTGGAGAAACGGACACAAAGTGAGAGATTCACGAAAAACCACCAGATTGCAAACAAAGAATTACAAAAAAGCCTTCGGATCTATAAAGCAAAGCTTTTGATCTATGACCGGAAGATTTACCTTCGGAGATGGCGCTCTGTATCTCCGCACACTTAACGACGACGTTGTGGTCGTTGAGGCCTTCTTCCTCCTCAATTAGGTAGTCGCTGTAGCCATTCTTGTTGCCGGTGGACGGCGGGTTTCGCTCCGGCGTGAGCTTCACGCGCGAGACAAGGAACCACTGCACGAGCGAGAAGACGATCCCGACGACGGCGCAGACCGGGATCACGATCTCCGTCGCCAAGTCCGAGAGCAAAGGACTCCCCATCTCCCCTGAACCCTAGCTCCTCCTGATATCCGTTCGCCGGAAAATGCAGAGCCCTATTTCGCAGGGACAGAGAGAGAGAGAGGGAACCCAAAAAAAAAATACACACGCAGAGAGTGAAGAGTCTCGGCGAGACAGTCTCACAATATTTATATTCCCAAAATAGAGAAAATTCCCAAATGGATTAATGATTAAAACAAGTCCTTCGTCAAGTTGTACTCGTCACGTGAGCCGCTGATCATCATCTTGATTATCTTCGTGGGGAGATCGGGACCATCGGACGGTAGATATCTGGGGAAAGGGTGCAAAAGTGTGGGACACTGTTGGATGATGATGCGGAAATACCAAGCGCGTAATATAGACGCATGAATGTCGGAATCGTTTCTGTTCTACTCGATATTTTCACGTGTGTTGTTTATTCATTTTCCTGAGGATTTATCATCTACTACGCAACGATAATGAGATTGATGCGCCAACTAGTAAGGTTGGCGATAATTATGCATTCAATTTACCCAGAATTATTTCAACCAAAAATTTTACTTAGAATTATTTAAATTTGCAATTAAAAATTCTGAGATGGTTAAAAAAAAAGATAAGAAAAGATAAACCATGTTTTTAGGAGACAAAAAATGCAATCTATTTTTTGTTTTCTTTTATGTTTAATATAAATGATGAGCTCATTTAATAGATAAATCGTGATTTATTTTTTTTATGTCCACGGTTACATGCATAATTATGTTCTCTACCAAAATATATTATCCTTGTTTGGAGATTTTTATGAGAGTTACGACCAAACACATTATCGATTTTCTATAATTTTAGTATTTAGTATTAGAATATTAAACTTTTATTAGATTCTGTTAAATATGCACGTATATATGAATTTTGTTTTGGTTAGATTGATATAATATAGCACTTAAAAAATGCTAATATAGTATTCCTCTTATTTTTATCTTTTTAGGTTTTGCTTTGGGAATTTGAAGCTATCAGAGCCGTTTTAGTGCGCCGTTGATATGTTGATTAAACACTGGCCAAAAGGAGTGACTCAGTGCCACGTCCTGGGTTGTATTTTTTTTATTGTGTGGTGCAATACATGGAAAATTTTCTCAGTGTCCTTTTTATGGGTTATTTTTCAACCCAGTGTCATTTTTGTAAGTTGAGGATATTGTGGATGGTTTTCCGAACGGTTTCAGTGATTCTGACGTTGCCTGTGTTGAATGGCGTGCAAAGCCTCCAATCGGATAATACACCTTTTTATTTTTATTTTTTCATAATTTTGGTTTTCCGTTTTTACTCAAAAAAAAAAAAAAGGCTTTCCGTTTTTTCATATCCACTCAACGGATATCTGATTTTCTATTATCGCTGCAATGAATCCCAAGCAAAATATGAGAATTCCAATGTCGAAAACAACAATCTTACATTAATTTGGAGATTCATTTGTAAAATTATTCTTGTAATTAAAGCTTTCAATAGGGTTGAAAAAGAGACTTTACTTCTGACAATAACAATTAAGTTCTTACTGTGGTCTGTGTTACATTGGCATGGTAAGTTTTACACAAATTTGGACTTGAGTAATTTTTTCTTGTAATTAAAGCTTTCAAAAGAGTTGGAAAAAAAGACTTCTACTTCTGACAATGCAATCAAGTTCTTACCATAATCTATTGTTTGTGTTACATTTGCATAGTGAGAAAGTCTTACATTAATGGAGGAACATAACTAATTAATATTATATTATTTTTGTCAAATTATTGTCATAAACTATTGATTTTGATATGATCTGCCTATTAAAACCACGCACTACCTCATAAGTCCCCTCATTTGATAATAATGACTTGTGGGAATTACCAAAATGCGTGCTGTGGGGAAGCGTTTTGTTGGCTTTTTCATGAAATAGAAGACGCACGAAATGCATGTGGGCCGTGGTGAATGGAAATGAGAACGATAAGGAGAGAAAGAAACAAAAAAAAAAATACATTATATGTACACAAAACTTTAGAGGAAAGAGTTAAAAAAACTGTCTTTCAAGGGTGACCACAGATGCGACGTAAAATATGAACGGTGTTTAACACCACCAACTAATAAAATTTAGATCTTTTAATGTAAAACTCACAAATATCATTCATTTTTTCTTTGTGATGGTTGTTTAGCGTCGAATATGTTTTCGAACATTTTTCTTTCGTGTGTTGTGTGGCCCGCGTGGGCCACAAACTCGCTCGCTCTGCTCCAATTTTTTCCAGTTGGCTGCGATATAATCCCGACAGACGTACCACACCTTCGTAATTTCACCTAATTAAGTCCGAGCCTCAAATGACCTTTTACTTACTAAATGACAAAACCCACCTCACTTGCAGTCTGTGGATGCTTTCCCTCACTTTTCCACAGCTCCTGTTTCTTTCTTTTATGTTTACCATAAGTATGGAAGAGCAAAAAATGTCAGAAATTCATCACATATTATTTTGTTAAGTTTTTTTCATAAAGCTAGCAATGTTTTTAAACTGTTAGATTTCAATATAGGTTCTGTCAAATTTTGTGTGTACTTTTATTCAAATTTTGTATAAGCTTTTTTTCTTTTTTTCTTTGTTTTCATTTTTTTAGTTACCTGAAATTTCCAACTTAGCTTTTATATATTTTCTTTCTCAGTTAGTCAGTTTGCTGGCAAAGGGCGAATGCGTGATTCGCATCTTGAAGCATATTCCTCCCAAGTTTTAGATGTGATATCCTTTATATTCTTCCTCTATTTATTTATTTATTTTTGAAGTGACTTCCTCTATTTATTAGTTTTGTCTATGGTGTGCTTCTCAATCTAATAATGAAAAAAAAAAAAAAAAAAAAAAAAAAAAAAAAAAAAACAGTGAATTTTTGTCAGTACCTACTTTTTAATATATATAGCTACAAGTTTTGTATGCATGTGTACACTGTACTAATTATTTTTACTAAATAAAAAATAATAAAATAAAAAAAATAAAAACCGTTTTACCTGATTATAATATCCCTATGATTTCATTTCAAAGAAAAAAAATATATCCCTATAATCAAGAGACAATACGTCTACATGAAAACAATATATTACATGCATGTCCAAAAGGAAAGATATGTAGATAGCAATTACCTTCAATAGTTAGGTAAGTAAAAATAAAAAAGAGAAAGCAAAACGCAATGAGTTTATGTGTGAAATCAATCTTTATTGATATCTCCATCTAGAAGCTCTCCATTCAAAAACCTGTATAGTTTCTCAATATTATATACCTTATTCTAAAGGGAAACAGCTGCTTAATGAACCCTTCAACAATGTTTCTTTTTGTTCAAGAATTGATGCTTTTTGTCCCCATTTGGAATCCGGATACTTTTAAAATCCTTTTGCTTAAGACTCCATATCTTTTATACCGAAGGGACACATTCTTTCTAACTCTTAATTTAGACGTTTGTACTTCGAGTTAAAAATTTGAGTTAAAAAATAAATTTATATAAAAAAAATAAAAATTTAAATTTAAATTTTTATTAAAAAAATATTGTAATAAAAAGTTTGAGTTCTAATTCAAAATTCAAACCATGAAGCAAACAAACACTTTTAATTCGGTTTTTCTACCACCGTTAATCTCTCTAACCACTGTAATCATAGACATGAAAGAAGCATGTGGAAAAAGAAGGGTGGATCATTAAGACAGCATTTGGTATGGAGTAATTTTGAGTATGAAAATGGAAAGTTTTAAGGTCTCGTTCGCTTCATAGATTTAAATTTTTAACTCAAGTTGAGATGTGATATTTTATTAGAGTTTTTAATTGTAACAGAAAAAATTAAATGTGATATTATTTAAGAGTTTTTAACTGTAAAAATTTAAAACTGAAAACTCAAATTGATAAAATAAATAAGATCTAAGATTCTCACATTTAATATAAAAATTATAATTTTTAAATTCCTTAAAATGTCAATATCATGCGATTCATTTTACTCTAAAACCGGGTAATCTGAATAACACTAACATTGTGTTTGTTATTCAAATTTTCGAGAATCTTACCCACACACCCATCACAGCCTACCGGCTACCACCACGACTTCTCCTCCCTCCCTGCCATAGCTGCCGAGCATATCTATCACAGCCACTGTTAAGCTCGCCACCGGAGCTCGTCGCCGGAGCTCCCTACTCTCCGCCATAGCTGCCGAACAACCCCCCATCAAACTCATCTCCGGAGCTCACCATCCTTACCATGGTTGCTGAACACCATCTCCCCACCAAACTCATCTCCGGAGCTCGCCCATCTCCGCCATGGCTGCCGAACACCCCCTCCCTACCCAAGTCCTCGCCGGAGCTCTGCGAAGTCACCGGATCTCGTCGAGCCTAGTCGGATCTCGTCAGAACTCGCCGGAATCATCTTCCTCTTCTCTTCGTACTTCGCCATGGCTTCGCGTGACCAACGGCATAAACCAACCCAGGCCCCCTCAATTCTGATTGCCGCCAAGATTGGCAACTTCTCGTCGTCGCCACCTCCTTCGTAGTTCCTTCCGTCACAGCTCCTCGCTTGCCCGTCTAGCATCGTCACCTGCTCATCCACCTTGCAAACCAGATCTGGTTTAATAGAAAGGAAGGAGACGAAGAGAAAGGGTGAGGGAAAGACGAAGGACTTTTTTTGTTTTTTACTTCGTAATTTTATCTAATAATTTTAACAATTTGATTGTTATTAAATTACAATAAATGTTCAGAATTTTTTCTTTATTTTTTTTTTAAATTTTATACTTTTTAATATTTTTATAATATTTGAAAAAAAAAAAAAGAAATCTAAGGTGTTGAAAATACATATTTTAATTTTAATCACCTAATTTAACAAATTTTAATTTTTTAAAATGTTTAAAATTATTGCTTTTATAAAAAGATCACATTATATAATTGTGTTCAACGAAACTAAACACAGTAAAATAATATTTTTGAGAATCTAAAAAAAAAATTTATGTACATAACTAAACGTAACAATACATATTTTCTGAAAATAATATTACATTCTATCACTTTTCTCGTAATATGAGTAACATCTAAAAATTATGGTCCACACTCCATAATTATACAGAAGTGGAAGTTATTGCCAAAACTAATGCTTTTCATCACCAATCACTATAACGCTACACCTTTAG